GGTCGGAGATTTAGTATGGAAGACCATTCTTCCGGTGGGATCAAAGGATCCAAAATTTGGCAAGTGGTCTCCAACTTGGGAAGGCCCATTTCTCGTCCACCAAGTGTTAGGAAAGGGGGCGTACAAGTTAAGTGACCAAAATGGTCGGGTCCATGATGCGCCGATCAATGGTCGATTTTTGAAAAAATATTACCCAACGGTTTGGGAAATGGCGGAGAGATAACCTGCCACGAAGAAAGATATCACATATATATATAGGTGGGCAAAAGTCTACAACAAAATGGGGCCAAGTAATGGCCTAGATATCCACCAAAGGTTCAAAAAATAATAACTAAGCTAGTTCTACCACATATGGTGACCAGAGAAAAGGAAACTAGCTAAGTACAAAATGAGCCAACCAATGGCCAAGTATGAACCTAAGCATCGGGGAAAAGGGTGCGGAGGGCAGCCCTAAAGCTCTCCATCGCGGTATCTCCGGCGGACAAGGTAGACTGAATCATCAACTTTCTCTCTAACAAACACTATGTCACTTTTGATGTTTCATCTGCCTATAGTCCCTTGTCATTGGACTCCTGCCTGTTTGTTTTTGGTGCTTTGTTTGCACCTTGGTTTCAACAATGCCAGCCTTCCTTTCTTGAAGCTGCCTCACCTGCTCATCAATATCCGCAGCCTCCTGTTGCATTTGGCGGGCAATCAAAAAAAAAAAAAAAAAAGGAAAGGAAGAGAGAGAGAAAAGGTTGTGGGAGTGGTGGGTTGATTTTTATTTAAATTCTTTTATTTTTTGTATTTTATACTTAATGTTATTTTATTTTTCAGTATTTAATTATTTTTAATGTACAAATTGACCAATTTGCCCTTATATTTAACGGCAAATTAGAGAAAATGTTGACGATTTAGATGATAGGGGGAAAATTGGTGAAAAATAAAAGTTCATATTCCTAATTTTATAAAAATAAAGGATATGGGGTATATTGAAAGTTAAGTACAAATTCAGGGCAAATCAACAGTTAACCCTAAAAAGTCCTGGTATAATCAGGTTACGAGGTCGAGCCCGCTTTCAATTTCCAGAGACGCCTGCTCGACTCACATCTACAGCTGCTGCTCCTTCTTCTTCTTCTTCTTCAGCGGCACATAGGAAAAGCTTCTTCACCAATCAACAATGGCGGACGACGATTACAACGAAATGGATATGGGGTTCTCTCTCGCTCGTGCCTAATATGGATTTGATACTCATAACTCAACAAGTAACTTACTGAGATCTTGTTGATGCAGGTATGAGGATGAGCCAGTGGAGCCAGAGATTGAAGTAAGGATTTTGTTGCTTCTTTTTCTTTTGGGTTTAATATGGTTGTCTAAATCTCTGATAAGAATGGAATAGAATGGTTGTTCGTATTTTTATGAGATAAATAAATTTGCTGAAGAATAATTGAATAATGGACAGGAAGGTGCAGAGGAGGAAGATGTAGAGAACGCAAATAATGATGATCTTCCAGGAGAAGCCGTTGAAGCTGATGACAAAGAAGAACAAGCACCCGTGGAACGGCCTCGGAGAACATCCAAATTTATGACCAAATACGAACGGGCCAGAATCTTGGGTACCCGTGCTGTGCAGATCAGGTATTTGAACTTTGAATTCAATTAAATTGAAATTTCTTTTTGGTATCAAATTCAACTTTTCAGTCTAAAATTTTGTTGATAAATTAAACCCATCACAAATTTAATGTTTGGAATGAGCAGCATGAATGCACCTGTGATGGTTGAGTTGCAGGGTGAGACTGATCCACTTGAGGTAAGTACATTTTACTGCTATTGCTTTGCTTGCATATATTGGTAGTTGAATTGTTTTCTTTTGGGTCTACCCGTTAAGCTTCCAGCTACCACTTAATTTGACTCTGTTATTGTGCTGCTGCTTTTACTATGACATGCACAAAACAAGTGCTTGCATATGGGATTTTGTTTTAGTTATTGCTTCTTCCGTACTTCTTTGTAAGCACTCCTTTATATAATTTGAATAGGAGGTCAAAGTGAACAAGAGCAGAAACTTATAGTGCAATTGTATCAGAATAGCTAATGTGGTGCATAATGCGATTAAGACCAGAAATGGTGTCACTGGCAAAAAGAACATAAATTTTGTGTTGTAACTTGTGAGTATGTGTGTATCATCCAAATAATAGCACAACTAATGCAATGCATACAAATAGTAGTTATAGAGAAATTTTAAATCCTTGTTTAATGAAGTAATATTTATCTCTCTTTCAAATGTGTTTTTAAAATCGAAAGAAAGTACATGAGTACGCTCCGCATTTTTCTTCTTTCATTTTTATCTTTCTTCTTTTGGCTTTCTTTTGCCTTACTAGGAGAAGCTCATCACCCTCCTTTCTGTATAAAAATATGGTTCCATCCTCCACTGAGGACGATTTTTCTTCGGATAAAAGAAAACATATTGGTAGTTTCTTTAAGTTGAAAGGAAATTATGGTATTGAATCTGACTTGTGAGAGCTCTATGCTACACTAGTATGATCTCTTTCATTTTGAATTTCTTAGATTGCTATGAAGGAGCTTCGTGAGCGGAAGGTACCCTTCACCATACGCCGGTATCTGCCTGATGGAAGGTGCGGTTCTGACTTTGGTTTTACTTCAGTGGAAACATTGTTTTTGTGCTTTCGCACAAGTGCCCACGGACAAAACTCTTTGTAACTTGTAGTGTCATGTATGTATTTTTGAAACATTTTAATTGGGTGTTTAAATTTTCAGTTATGAAGATTGGGGAGTAGATGAGTTGATTGTGGAAGACTCGTGGAAGAGGCAGGTGGGAGGCAATTGATCATTTATGCATGAAGAATGGTTTCCGATGTCAGTTTATTTTCCCTATAAATGTCCAGATGTGCTTTCATGGACTTGTAACATTTTGGCACTGATCCTACAAACTTACATGTTAAAACACTATTTGTATCATTTTTTTTGTTTTTGTAAATGTGTTGAAACACTGTTGCAGGCATCTGAAATGTAGTTGATTAATGGCTTTTTGCAATCTGTTTGTATATATATTTGGACAATGCTCACTTTATTGTTTTGTGAGCCAAACAAAACCCATTGCTTCTTCAATCCCAGTAACTGTAAAATCTCCAATGGAGAAAATCTTCGTACAAATTTGAACCCAATTTGCAAGAAGCACTTTTACTCGTGACTGATATTCTATAGGCATGTCGAAATTTGTATTCAAAATTCAAGTGCTTACTAAAAAAGCAATTGGAAGTGTCAAGTGCTTACTAGAAAAGCAATTGGAAGTGTTTCCGGAGGAACATGATGCGCTTTTAATGAAGCAATTGCAAATATGCCTGTGAGAAAAACTATAACCAAGGAGCTTTCGCAACCATTATCTTAGTAGGAAGATTGGGAAAGTGGTTCTTCAATATTAAGTTACAAAAGGATATAATTTTTGTGATGGCAGTTATCGAATTGAATAAAATTCATGATTGTAATTTGGGTGCATGCCAACATCAATTTAAACTTTGAATCCCATTTGTATTCCTTCCTCATTCACAAAGTGTTTTTTTGTACTTGGACAAGTGGGTTAGCGGTGGAGGCGCTGGCGAGACATTCATCATGATCCATTAGAGCATTTCCACCAGTTAGCCCCTTGCCATGGCAAGGGGAGCCCTAGGGCAGTTACTATTCATATGAATAGTAGCTGCCCTAAGCCCCCCCTCCCAATAAAGTGTGTTTCCAGCAGTTTAGGTTTGCCATGGTAAATACTATTCATGTTTTTGTTTTTTTTCACAACTTTGTTTACTTAAACAATTAATTTAGATAAGATTTTTCGGTTCTCACATGTCAATACTATTCATATCGGATAAGATTTTCGGTTTCAAATTTTAGATACATTTCAAAATTCAAATTTTAGATAAATTCAAATTTTGAATTTCAGATACATTTCGAAATTCAAATTCCAGATAAATTTCCAATTCCAAATTTCATTTGAATTTCAAATTTCAGATAAGATTTTCATCCTCTAAAATTGCGCCACGTGTCATCTCTATTTGTCTAAATTTTTCTATAAAACCAGAGGCTCAGCTAATACCTCCCACACCATATCTTCTCTACATCTTCATTTCTCATATTTTAGATTTCATTCCCCATTCTCAATGTCAGACATGGAAGATGTTTTGGATAGGCAAGAGCGAGAAAGACGAGCAAGAATACGCAGAAGAGCTGCAAGCAAAAGGGCGCAGAGAGAACTATATGAGCAACTTGGTGTGGCCGTTGCTTTGCTGGAGGAAGAAAACCAGAGCCGCCGTGGTTCACGAGAAGGCCGGGCATCGAATGTGGACAAACATAGACATTCTCGGGATAAGAATCTTCTGGAAGATTATTTTATCCCACAATCTCTGTACTCTGATGTTCATTTTCGAGCAAGATATAGAATGCAACCCCATTTGTTCAATAAAGTCATGCATAATATTTGCAATTATGATGACTACTTTGTTCAAAAGAAAAATTGTGCTGGAGATTTGGGGCTGCTTCCCGAGCAAAAGTTCATAGCTGTGATACGAATGTTGGCGTATGGGTCATCTGCTGATCAGGTGGATGAGATTGCCCGGATGGGGAAGTCCACTATTTTGAAGAGCTTGGTTCGATTTTGTGATGCAGTGGAAAATCTGTACACCAAGGACTACCTACGCAGACCTACGCCCAGGGACCTGCAACAGCTTCTACAAAAAGCTGAGTCCCGTGGATTTCCTGGAATAATTGGTAGTATTGACTGCATGCACTGGCAATGGAAAAATTGTTCATTTGCTTGGCAAGGGGATTATGGTAATCGGAAAGGGCAGAAAAGCATCATCCTCGAAGCAGTTGCTAGTTTTGATACCTGGGTTTGGCACGCCTTCTTTGGAGTTGCCGGCTCTCAAAATGATTTGAACGGCCTGGGGCAATCCCCGGTGTTCAATGATATTTTGAGAGGTGAATGCCCAAATATCACATATCAAGTCAATAATACCATCTATCAGAACGGGTATTATCTAGCTGATGGTATCTACCCGAGATGGACAACATTTGTGAAATCAATTCCACATCCCCGATCCCAGAAGGAAATTTTTTTTGCTGCCTATCAAGAGGGGTACAGAAAAGATGTGGATAGGTACTTTGGTATCCTTCAAGCTTGGTAGGCTATTATCAGGGGCGCGGCGCATCTATTTGACGAGGAGGTGCTCAGAAGTATAATGATGACTTGTATCATCCTCCACAACATGATTGTGGAAGATGAGTATGATTACGATGTTGATGAAGTGTATGAACCAGATCCCATGCATACTCCCTTTCTTGGTGTGCATACTCCCTTTGTTGGCGTACATACTCCCTTTCTTTTGCATTTTCTACATCAATTGCCCTATCGTGCTCTTGTTGTTTCATGTCCATTTCAATTCTCATGGCTTGCATCTTTGAAAGTTCCTCCAAAAATTTAGATGATGACTTGGTAGAATGACTCCCTCTCTTCGCCTTCGCCGCTTTCCTCCCAATAGGCCTCAGCTCCTTTTCGATAGGTGAGTCTTGACTCATCGGGAAATCCATAGGTGAATCCGATACCGGTGTCTCATGGAGTGGTGTCTCATTCAAGACTACCGTAGGACCCGTTGGAATAATTTGGAATTTCTTACAATTCTTCACCACCTCCCAACAATGGGTATGGTTGAAACTTTTTTTTCCTTGCCGAGTAGCACAAAAAAACATTTGTGCTTGTATAGTCTATTAAAAAAAATGAAAATGCAAGAAACTTTAAAAATTATTGGCAATGCAACAAGTATAAAAAAAAAAATGGAAATACAAGAAACTTTAACAATTTATTAGAAATGCAAAATAAAATTTAAATATTGCAACAAACATTCATATTAATATTGGAAATACAAGAAATATTAACAAAATATATAAATTGCAAGAAATATTTAAATAAACTTTAATATGACATATAAATGAATAAAACAAAAATTACAAATAATTTACCTCACTGGTAAGGTTTTCCCCGCTTCTGTGGTTGTCTATTGCCTTTGCCAAGGCATCCCTCCATTTCGCCAACTCTTTGTTAAGAATTTTCCATGTATTAGATAGTATCTGATCTGTACGGGTCAAACCAATTACCCTTTCACAAAAATCCTGATGAATTTTTTTCCACATATGACAGAATTTCATCTCATTACTCGTTACGGGACAATGACTAATGTGGAGCCAAGACTCACACAAGCTAACATCTTCCATGACGCTCCATGCCCCTCCTGTTTCACTAGAAGAACCCATAAATTTTTCTAGAAAAATACAACTTCAAAGTGAAAAAAATATTGACTACAAAGTGAATAATGGTAGAATGAGAAGAAAATGTATGAAGAGTTGGTGTTAAAAGTGAAGAGTATTGGTTGGTATTTATAGGAAAAAAAATCAGTATTTTTTGGGTATTTTTTCAAATTTTTTTCGATTTTTTTTTCATGTTTTTTTTGGACAGAATAACAGCTGCCGTTGGATTGCTGGAAGAAATGAATCGGAGCGCCCAGAGCATCACCACGTGGAAGAGAGCCGTTGGGTGCGAGTTTCGATTTTTTTTTTCAATTTTTTATTCGTGAAAAATGGCTGCCGTTGGATTTGGAATAAAGTGGATTGAACCGCTGCTGGGAGCGCCACGTGGAATAGACCTGTTCGGGGGTCACTGTAGTGGGGGCGTCAATTTTTTTTTAATGTTGGCGCGTGTTGCACGTGCCAACGTTAAAAAATTTTAAACAGCAACGCTGACGTCAGCCCAAAACGAGTTTTTCTCCTCGGGCCGAACCTCCCCAAGGGCTAGCCCAGGCAGATTTTTTTTGCTGGGGCCCACACCTTGCCCTGGCAGATTTTTGTTGCTGGAAACACATTTTGGGTTTGCCCCCCCACCCCCCCAGCCCTCCCCCAAGGCCCCTTGCTGGAAATGCTCTTAGGGTGTCCTAAATGACATTAGGAGGCTCATCTATCTAGCGACATTCATAAATATAAAAATAATTAAGGATTTCAACATACGTTTAATAATAAAGAATTTCACTAATAAACCAATATATGAATGAGATAATATACAAAAGCAGAGACATTGTTTGTTTACATATGTTAGCAGAGAGGCAAACCCCTGTTGAACTCATAAATAAGGAGGCAAACCTCTATTTACATATGTTCGCCTGTGAATGAGAAAAACTTAGTTGCAACAGGATATCATTATTTTGCTATTCTAGCCAATAATGCTATGTCACGTGTAAGTATTATCGTCATAGGGTTATTGGCAGCCTAAGCAGTAAATCCATTTCCAACCATAGGCCATAAGCCAAATATAGCTCTAAAATAATGTGAAACCCATCTCCAACTATGGGAAAAAAAAATTTGCCAAATTTAGAGGGCCACATTTAGCCCTTGAGCCCTCCAATCAGGCCACTTGTAGTTTAGGCCAAAAAATTTGGTGAGCTCAACGCATGTGCTTTTCAAAAAGAGAAAGTATTACTCGTGGGCGAGAGCATGAAACATCTCGTGTACCTGCAGATCCATCAGCTAATATTAAGTTTTTTTTTTAATTTTCTTTTCTTTTAACCTTTTTAAATGTATTTAAATTCGTTTTGTTTTAAAACATATATATATATATATAGGTATAATTGGTTCAGATCGTTGGAGGTCAGAACCATTTGAAACGCTACCTTATTAGAAATCTTGTTAAATGCTTATCAACATACACGTGTCATATATGGAATATTGTCTATAAATAGTAGTTTAATTAAATTAAACAATACATAGTAGTGGAATGTGTGAGTGTTGTAATATAATTTTTCTCAAAATAATAAAATATGAAGTGCCCTAAAATACGAAGCTATCTTTCTAGGGAAGTATTTTCTCAATGCTTTAAAAGGAGCAAATGCGTGGGAATTCATGAACCTCATTCAAAAGTGTTTAAGTGTGACTACACATTATCATCATCATCATGTCGTGCAGTGCACTCGAGTGGTTCCCAACACAAGATAATGATGATGAAGCCCTGAATTTGTAGACACGGCCTTCTCGAATGGTTTGATAGTGGAAGAAGGTGGCAATGATGATTTTTGGGTTGCTCTAGCGAGATGGGTGAGATCTTACATTTGGGTTATTTATTCCACACTGAGGGTAAGAGAGTGAGGCAAAAGAAATAGATGAGGAAGAAGAGAGAAAGAAATGAAGAAGATGGTGTGACTGCTAGCAAGAGTTTGAGACATGGAAATATGGTTTATATATGAAACACGTTGAAAAAAAAAAAAAAAAAAGAGATTGGTGGCCCGGTCTAGATTTTTATGTTCTTAAAAAATTGAAATTGAAGCAAAAACGATTCAAACTAGTACCAATTCAATTGAAAAAATAATATAATATAAATAATAAAAAACCGAATCAAACCGATCACTTGAAACGAAACTATTCGAAAAATAACCTTTTTTTATCATTTGTGTTTTTAATTTATTTAAAACACGGAATTGGTAACTCAAATGGTTAATATTTGCCCATCCTCTATATGTTTGATTACCTCTCCTTCAATAACGCTTTTGTTTATAAAAATAAAATAAAGAAAAAAAAACCGGTCCAATTCAGTCGGGGTTTTTTGAGTTTAGCGGTTTTAATACCCAGCCTTGGGCCGCTAGTAGTCAATCAAAGTCCAACCCCAGAATCCCCCAGAGTACTTCCAAATTGAACCTAGGGTTAGGGTTTAACAAATTACAAATTGGAGCTAGGGAGCTTCGAACAATGGAGAGGGCGACAGCGGGCGGTTCAGGGACAGTGACGGCGAAGAGAAAGCCGGTGTTCGTAAAGGTGGACCAACTGCAGCCAAACACGAGCGGCCACACCCTCACGGTGAAGGTGGTGAGCTCGAAGCCGGTCAAGGTGACCAACAAGAACGGCGGCCGACCATCGTTCTCGTCTCGCCCTCTCCAGCCCTCTCGTATCGCCGAGTGCCTCGTTGGTGATGAGACTGGGACCATTCTCTTCACCGCTCGCAATGACCAAGGTATATAATTCATGATTGTTAGCTTATAGATGAATTAATACACGAATTATTTAATTAAATAAGTAATTATTTGTGAATATATGGTATATGTGTTATGTAGATTTGGGTTGTTGGTTTGAATAGGTTTTGATAGGGTTTGAAGTGTGTTTAACTGTTTGTTTTGAGGAGAATTGAAAACAGCGGATTAGGGTTAATTTTTAGCCCATGAGAAGTTTTAGTTGATTGTAAGTGAATTTCTGCTTTGCGTAATGTTTTTCTTTGTTTGGAGACCAAACTATGATCTTTAATTCTGCTATTTGTGTACAATCAGATAAATAAATATGCCTGTCTTCAATGGGCTATTATTTGGTCTAAGTTGTGATTCAACTCCGTTTTGATTGTTTTGTCTTCTGTATTTATTCTCCATCCACATAGAACAGCGAAGGCGGTATCCAAATATTGTTAGATGGTATCCCTTCTCTGTTCTTAGGGTCTTGCATTTGTGTGTTAATGCCTTTGGTTGATAAATGATAGAAGCCTGGCACTACTTGAAATGTTCCATGCCTGTTGTCGCTAGCCTTTTTGGTTCTCGGAGGATTGTTGATTTGCATTATGTGTAAATGATGAAGTTACAATTTATACGTGCAGTTGACACAATGAAGCCGGACACTACTGTGATCCTGCGTAATGCGAAGATTGATATGTTCAAGGGAACTATGAGGCTAGCAGTTGACAAATGGGGACGTGTTGAAGTCACTGAACCAGCTGACTTCCAAGTTAAAGAGGAAAACAATCTTTCTCTCGTTGAGTACGAATTGGTTAACGTTGAAGAGTGACCGATGGGTATATTGTGGGAGTGGATACTAATGAATTATCTGTGTTCCTAACCATTACTGTTAGTAGGATGCAACTAATGTGTTTAGTTTGAGTCTTGATATTGCTGTGTTTAGTTAACCTAAGTGAGTTTCAGACGGTGATATGTTATGATTTGGAAGAACTAGACGTTGCTAGACTTGGAATATGGAACGCAAGAGTTTATGGTCTTAGATCGTATTCAATATGATCATGCATTTTGTACATTATTTCTTTTGTGACTCTTACTGTGTAGTAGTTTTCTGTTTTGGTCAATCTCTTGCTATGGTTGCTGTTGTATTTTGATTTTACATCCAAAAAAAAAAAAAAGATTTTACCTTTTCTGTTGTTTTTTTTTTATGCCAAAACCTATTCTATTGTTTTGACTAAACTTAAACTGCGTCATGTTTGGGATTGATTTGAAATCTGTGGAAGTACTCCACAGTTATATCAACTCGTGGTATCAATTTCCAGAGCAAGCTTAAGTTTAATATGTCAAATTAATCACTAAGTTTTTTTTTTGGTCAAATTTAGTCACTAAGTTGACATGTGCATTTGTGATTCACAGCGCTCTAATTCATGCCCTTCTTGCCATTCTTGTTCTCCCTTCTCTACACTTCACATGTGGCGACGAACAGCCATGAATGATGTGGGTTTCTCTTCAGAGGCGACTGATGACTCTAGATTTCTTTCTGTAACTAGCACCGTTTTCGGGGTTGTTATAGTGATTTGGTTCTTACGAGCTTGAAAGTAATGAATGATACTAGCGTTGCTCTTGCAACAAGTGTTTCATCGGCTTAAACACTCATTTCTTGATTGTTATGAATCATGATACCAATTTCTCTATCAAATGGTGCGGTGATAGGTTGAAGGCATGGGCGAGCGAAAAATGTACAGTACGAATTGATCTGATAAAATTATAAATTGTATGTAGCTTGATAAACCAACAACTGTATATCCAACGAGTTAGAGAGGAAGGCAATGAGGTTTTCTCAGCTGATCCCGCAATTATATAGCTATAGACTAAAACAAATCAATAAGTTGGATTCAAAACTCTTTTTTATTATTATTTATTTATTGAGAATCAAGAATACAACATCATAAACACTTGAAATTAGTGGCAAACCTATTAAGGTGCAAGGAGGTGCATTTGCACCTCTTCTCGCCAGAAAAACCATTATAGATGTTGCAATTTGCACCTCTGCTCAGCCTGGGGAGGTGCACTCTAGGTGTTCAACGAAAAGCCTAAATGAAGTCAGTGTGTTGCGTTGCGGTGTGCTGCATTGCGTTGCTGCGCGCTGTGTTGCGTAGCTACCTTATTCCATTTTCAGCATTTTATTCCATCTTTAGCATTTAAGTAAATGTCTTTGTCCTTTTACTTTCATTTATTTTTATATTACTCCATTTACTTAAGTTTACAATGTAAATACGGAAGTATCCCCCATTTGGATTCAATTAAAAATACTAAAAAATAAAATTCCCACCAAATCAAAATATGAAAAATATGTTTTAGTGCAAAATACAATTTAAGCTAAAAATGATGGCTCATTAAGTCAATATATACTTCATACTAAAATCTCATAAAATGATGTTTTCTTATTTGATGTGTAAGGAATAAAAGCTGTCAAAAATTATCTTGAGAAAATGATTATTCCGAAAAACCATTTTTCATGCTTAGCCAATATTTTTACATGAAACAATTTTTCATGTATGATATGAATGCATAAAGGAACCTAAGGTCAATCTAGGTAAAAAAACTTTAGATGTTCAATTCACAAAATGTTTTAAAAGAATAACCTAAGTCTTACGTATTGAAGAAATATTTGCTTGAATAAGCTCCCTCTAAGATAGTACTCATAAGGGTCCAAAGTTTGAGAGCTAGAGTCCAAAAGAAATGCAGATAAAGGCCAAAATCAAAATGATGTCGAACCTCAAAAATGACGTAAATGCCCTAAAATGACTAGGATTGGGCTAATATATGCCAGCTCTTATGTGGAATAGGACGAGACACCTTGGGAGGTGAAGAGGATTATGCTTTTTTTTTTTGTTTATTATCACATTCTTAGAGATATTTCTGGTTCATTGCAGTGTGCGTCTATTTTTTGAAATTGATGTAATTCTCTTTGATAATGAACATGAGTATTTTGTATGGTTTTATCTATTAACTATGAATTAGAATAATATCATTTCATTTCGATGAGTCTATTTTGTATAGAAATTTTTTTAACCTTTTACACGTTGACCCCCCGAAATGAAAATTCATGGATCCGCCACTCTTTATTGTATAGTGTGCTTGTTTTTTTTTTTTTAATTTATTATAAATATTTTAATAAATCCTGACCAAAATTGCACCTCCGCTAAAAAATTCATGGGTTTACAGTGCTTGGAATAACAAGAAGCTACATTGAATTTGTAAACCCAAAGGGGAAAATGTCTAACAAATCTTCGACTTTATTCGATTAATTTAAGGGGAACAAAAACCAGTTGACAACACCAAAGATTTCAACCATTCAATAACTTGTTCTCATCCAAGAATGTATGCGTTGGCATCTCAAAATAAAATAAATTGAATGGTGCTAGGCTGATGGAAAACCGATCATGGGGGGTGTGTTTGGGCCGAAAAGTGGTTTCCAGCAACAAAAGCAAGTCCGGGTAGATGGTGGGACCCAGCAGATTGGGCTGGCCCAAGGGCAAGGCTGACGTCAGTGTGCCGCTACAACACCCTCTTCCACGTGGCACGCGCTGGGCTCTCCAATAAGATTTTTTCCAGCAATCCAACGACAGCCAATTTTTGTGCAATAAACTTCCATTTTCAACATTTATTTTTATATTACTCCATTTACTGAAGTTTACAATGTAATTAAGAAAATACCCCCCATTTGGACTCAGATAAAAATACTAAAAAATCAAATTCTCACCAAATCAAAATATGAAAAATCAATTTTAGTGCAAAATACAATTTAGGCTAAAAATGATGGCTCATTAAGTCAATATATGCTTCATATTAATCCCATAAAATTAAGTTTTCTTATTTAATGTGTAAGGAATAAAAACCACCAAAAATTATCTTGAGAAAATAATTATTCCGAAAAACTGTTTTTCATACTTAGGCAATATTGCACATCCGCTAAAAAAATTCTAGATCCGCCAGTGTCTATAAATACCAACAAATACTCTTCACTTTTAACACCAAATCCTCATATATTTTTTTTCTTTCTATAAATGCCAACCAATACAACTAATAAAATAAAATATTATCCGAAAATATTATCTAAATTAATTGTTTAGGTAAAAAAAGTTGTGAAAAAAACAATAAAATGAATAGTATTTGCCATGACAAAGAGCAACTGTTGAAAACACACATTGCTTAATATGGCAAGAGCAGCCACTATTCACGTGAATAGTAGCTGCCCTAGGCCCCCCTTGCCATGGCAAGGGGCAAACTGCTGGAAGTGCTCTAAGGTTGAAGATTGGTATTTAAAGTTCCATTTTTCAAAAGAAAATAATTAAATCACATCTGGCCAAAAGAACACATTAGTTTGGCACATCATGTGGTCAGTTCAAACTTTTGCCCTAGTGTGTGCAAATAGTGCAGGCCACAATGGTAGTAATCAACTTAGATGAGTATTATCTCCTTGACTACTCTCACCAACCACAAATTCTAGAGGAACTACTTAGGAGGGAAAAACAATATGATGTGTGATGAGGATTGGCTGTTTGATGCTCTATTACAAAAGGTGACCAAATGAAATGTAAGCTCAGGGCCGGGAACACTGTTTATGGCTCTTTGGAGGTCAACGTCTTGAGGGGATGGATCTGCATTCCTCAAGAATCTGCGCACAGATTGAAAAGGAAGAAGAATAAACATGTCAGCTACTTGGGAAATTTTGGAGGGCTGTGGAAAAACCATAAAAGAAGAGGCAAATTTGGAAAGTGAAATCACATAGCCCCTATCAACTTCTATGTAGCATATATGATTTGTCCACAAAGCATGGATCATGTATGAACCAAGATGCTTGCAAACTCAATCTTCACTGTACTTGATCAAGTATTACGAAGTCCAAGTTTGGTCTGAGTAAAACACGATACAAAGCTCACTAGCATTCGTCCAATGTAACCACGCTAATACTAAGAAATGAAGCACACAATTTTTTTATGAATCGAGCATATACCCAAACACAAAAGTGGATTCTTCTCTAATTGCCTGCAAGCTTGGTAAAAGAGACCTAGAAGAGGATTGCCAAGCAATAGCTCTTCGACTAACTGCACTGGAAGAGCATAATGCTTTACCAGGCAGAAGCTACTTTTCTCACTTCATAAAGAAGGTATAATGCCTTGCTGCCACAAATGCAATGATTTTTCTTCAAAAAAGAGAAGAAAAAAAATGAAGCTAAAAAGAGAGAGACAAAATAGCTATAAAGGATTCAAATAGGATAACAGAACAGTAACATGAAGAGTAGATGATATTCATCTTTGACTATGTAGTCATAGAATTTTTACATTTAAAGTTCTGAAGGTAATCAAACTGAAGAAAATAAAACACTGAAAAGGTTTATTTCAGAACAGATTTGTCCAGTAAGCATGCAGTTAAGGCTTCCAAGTCATCATTCTCTTCAAGTGCTAGAATCTTGAACAAAACTTCTACTGAACTCACTGGAAATTGATCATGCATCGTTGTTGCAAGCTGATTGAAAATAATATAAGTATGACTCTCCGGTCATTAACATCAAGGAAAAGGGGAAAAAAAAAAATAATATTCAGCAATGCAGATTACCATTTTTAAGTCTATGAGCTACACAATGAGCATCACAAAAGAGAGAACCAGAAAAGGAAAAAGGAAATTGTCTTTATTCCTTGGACAAAAGTAACCAAGTCTACCAGTTCATCTATGTTTAAAAGCTCAGGAGATGCAACTTATCTCTTCTGCAGCTCATTCAAAACTCTTATATTACCAGCAGTCACTGCCTTAGACTGAAGAACTAAGTACATAAAACTTCCTTGTCTCCTTGGAACAATCATCACACATCATCATTGCAAGCTGATCAAATAAAAATGATCAGTCACCAACTTTATGATCATCGTGGTTTAAACATTTCTAAATTCCACTAAACATGTAAAATATTCATAAACTCCTATAGGTGTCAACCTTGGACTTGGGATTTTAGTTAAGAGAGATGAGGACAGCTGACAAAGGAAAAGTAACGAGAACAGCAGAGAAGACATCTGTACTTGGGGACCTATTTTATTATAAATTGTTTTAACAACAAACAAGATACAGTTTATACTCTCTTCAACTTTTCATCAACTATTCATGATTCAATCATATTTAATAAAAACCTCCAAACATTCAAAACATACAAAGACTATTTCTAAATACCACTGAAATAGCCATCATAAAAAATGTTCCACCTCTTCCTAGAAATTGCCATGAGATAATATCAAAGAATTCAACACATCTAATGGACTCTTATCAACGTTTTTATAAAAACAAAGTTTACAAATTTAAAGAACATAAATGTTCTCCAATCTTTTAGGAACATAGCCCCCTTAGATATTTAAAAGCTTGAAATTTAAAATCAAAGTTACTCCAACATCGCTTCTTGATCTTCATCTGTCTTGGCCTACAACAACAAATAGAGATATTTTTGCACCTTTCAAATAAGGAGTACGAGAAGGGACATTGACTTAATTATTAAGACACAAAGTGAACTAAAAGAAGCAGAGAGATAGCCCATAAACCAAAAACACCAAATTCAGCTATTAGTACCTAACAAATTCATTTGCGTAAGTTAATGACCATAAAACTTATTTTTCCCACACCTTGTATCAAAACAGACACATGATATGGCTCTGTGATGACATTTCAAAATTGAAGTATCCAATATCTGAACCCAACATAAATAGCCACTACCTTACCAGAAAATTAGAAGGAAGAAAACGACATCAAGGGACCCTACAAATGTTCGCTAGATACCTAATTCAAGAATAAAAACCCATCGGTTAGGCAGCCAACAAACAAAACTACTTTTTTGTTGAACATAATGAAACAAGGCTGCTTGTCATGAGAAATATGCAAATCTCACCAATCCTAGCAGGAGGAGGAGTAAGGAGCAAAAGAAAAATCAGTGTGGATGCAGACATTGCATAATGATAGAGGAAATAGTCCAATTTGGTTGAGTGATTCGCTCTTTTGTTAATTTTACTAAGCAAATAAAAAGTGGCAAAAAAGAAAGACATCACAAGGGTTCAAAAAAGGACATTTGAATATAAAATATATATATATATACACACACACGCACACACATGTACGTATACTATGCATGTGCTTATGTACAAACAAATCACCTTTCCCACAGAAAGAAAACAAAAAACAAAAGTGAGATATTTTCATTGATCTTAAAAATATGCAATGAATACTATTAATATCCACACTAACTTTTACATGTATAAGGGCTTATTGGGAAGCATTCAAATTTGGTTTCAGACCTATCATTTCTTTAGAAACACAAACATTGGAACGGAATACTCACTGCTATTCCATTACTTTAACGGAACAAACAGAAAGATAAAACTTAGTCTATTCCATTCTTAATGCACGAAAAAGTAATTTGACACTGAAACCCATTGCTCGAAACAGTTCTTTGACATTGAAATTAGAACTCAAACAAGCACAAAAGCAGTCACTAGCAAAGAACATAAATAGGACACAAGCAAACGTTCATAAAGCCAACAGCCACTCATTCCATCACAAAAGCAAACAAATTCACTAAATACAAAGAGCCACTTGAGAGTACGAGCAAATACAAACAGATTGCTGAGAGAGTACCTTCTGGAAGCCAACCATAACTGCGGCGAGTGATGGAGAGCATCGAAGTCATCAAAGCCGATGCTGTTGCTGTGTGGTAGGGCAGCATTGACTCCACACAGAAGCTCAATTCAACGGGAGACCTTCATCAACAAACACAAACAAATTCCAAATTTTTTACAATCAAAGTATTACAACGTAATTTGAATGGCAAATTTGGCAACCGTGTAACTTGAACATTCTGTTTGGTTGCAAAGAAAATGAGGGAAAATTAAGGGGCATATATATATATATATATATACACACACACATAGTATATACGTATACCTACCTAAGCGCGGGAGAAGAGGAAGGCCGCTTGCCTGCCATACGAAGCTGCGGGAGGCGCAGGAGCGGAAAATGGATCTTGCGGCTGCTGAGGTGGCCATTCTCATTTCTCAGCTTACAGGGTTTAAGTTTTTTGGAAGGAAATAGCTTTGGCTTTAGGGTTTTGGAGGAAAAGAAAAGAAAAACCAAAAACAAAAACAAAAAAACGAAGCGGGTATAGGATCCGATTATGTGACCCGGTTCGAACCGGAATCTGAAAGTTGAAAAATACGCTTCGAAACCACTCTCGCTCGCTCCAAAAGAAAAACAAAAACCCCATTCTCGCTTCCACCGGGGCAAAGCTGCCTCCCTGGTACTCTCTCTCTCTCTCTAGCTTCTGTAAAGCTATGGTTGTTCTTAAATCTGGTGTCTTCTGGTCTAGTGTTTTAGGGTTGAAGGCAATTTTTTAGGCAGCTGGGTAATTTGGTGTGTGGCATTGTAGCTAATTTTATGTGCAAATCCATATTCTCATGCACTGCAATTTTACTTGATTACTGTGACATCAAATGGTTTAAATTGCTTCAATGAAGTATTTCTAACAAATGGGTTTCAAGGAACAAGCTTGAAATAACACCATTCATGCAATTGTTTTACAGAATGTTATATATATATATTTTGGGTGCTAGACTGTTTTGTATTTTTCATTCAATATCCTATTTTGTTGGCTTTCTCCATTCTATTGATGTTGTGGGTTTCCGTTTCTGGTGCAGATTTGATAAAACTCAGGAAATTATTCTCCAACTTTTACTTTATTGATTTGCCTTCAGTTGCAGACGGTGATGGCTTCTTTATTCAAGGTAAAGTAGGCTTGGGTTTTATTGATCTTCTTCTCAACTTGGACTTTAATTTAGTACTAGTGTCAAGTTTCTGTCTGATGGAGTGAAAAATCCAAGTCAGTGCACTAGGTTTTTCTTTTCAGTTTGCAATGTAAACTTTCAATAAATATAAATGAAGAGGAGGAAGGTGTATAATATTCCATTTTGGTAATATGAGGGCTGGAGATAACATTACGAGAAGAAAAGAAAAGAAAAGAAACTCATGGTGGGTGAGAGATGGAAATTAGAAGTTAAGCCCCCACCCCTTTTATTTTCTCCTATTTGAGAACTAGACAGCGCAAAAGGGAATGTTTAAGTTCTATCTTCTCTTTTCTTTGTTGTTGAGCCAAATATATTGGTGTTTCCATTTTATGATACATGATCATGCCGCTGCCTTTTTCTTTTCTTAAAAAGATGTTGTCGTATAAAAGCTGTGGTTTTCGATTTGGTTCAAATCAATCAAATGTGTGAATGCTAGAGAAGTTCTGGAAAATGTTTAAAAAGATTTGTTCATAGTAATTACTTAACAAGATTTGTTTATTTCTTGTTCAAGTACCCTGTACATGTGCCGTGAATTGTTTTTTAGAACTGAGTGGGTTTTTTTCATTATGATTTCTTAGATTCATTTTACTCTATTTTCATAACCGTTTCTATTATAGAAAAAAAGGGAACTCCGGTGGCCATATTGTACATCTATGCATTTGTTAAGTTTGCCAGATTATTGTATGGTACTTCAAGTCTCACTTTGAAATACTGATGAAAATACAGCTTATCCTTTGTGATCCAACATGCATTTTATAACTGTGTTATTCCTCTATGCACTTACCTCATCTTTCATCGTTTTCTTTTTTCATTAGGATCAATCGAAGCTTTCACAATATCGGGATAGAAGATTTCCTGGATCACAGGAGGACTTTGAACAAGCACTTCTGGCATCAACGACTGTTTATATTGGGAATATGTCATTCTACACAACAGAAGAGCAAGTTTATGAGCTTTTTTCTCGTGCTGGAGAGATTAAGAAGATAATTATGGGCTTGGATAAAAATACCAAAACGCCTTGTGGTTTTTGTTTTGTCCTGTAAGCTTCATTCTTCATATTTTTAACTTCTTTGAAGGGAAACAGTTTAGTGGGTAGAGTCAAACTGATTGGCTTCATTTACCTCACATATCACCCTATGTTGAAGTAATATTTATACTGTGGCAATCTCCTACCTACTGCTGAGCACAAATATTCATGCTCCCCAACCATTGGATCAAATTTGAATTTCTGACATTCATCCTGATAAGAAAATACTTTATCAGGATCTGAATATTGGGCACGGGTTTCATCTGACAGTTGGTCAGCATGAAGATCATGCTCATTGGTCAATAGCAAATCAAAATTGTACGCATATATACATGTAACTGTCTTCATTGCTGATTGTTTTCGCCACTGAGTCTTCTCTGCTGTAGGACTGTATATGCATTCTGACTCTTGAGATGCTTTGAATATGATATGGCTTGTTTCATTTTGATGGAGAACATTTGCACATTTTCTTGAGTTTCATGTTTTGAGATAAATGAAAGGCATATATCCCTTCTCTTTCTGTCTTGAAATTTTCAGACAAGTCAATCTTATTTAAATGTGTGGGACATAAGTACTTCTTTTGGATCTGATTGTTCAAGTAAAGAGAGGGAGTGCACCACTTTCCATTCATGCTGTTGCTTAAACTATGGCTGGCAAGTCACAATGATTGTATGTTGTAGCAATGCACATTGTACCTGCACCAAATTGTTTTATCTTTTGATTTATCAGGAGAAGTTCTTCATATTTTATACTTAAAATTGATTCTATTATGTTTCAGTTGTTTATCATTTCTTAGTGTTCTTTTTCAAGATGTGCATAGCTTGTAAATTGGTCTTGTATCTTGAGAATAGTAAAAGTTACATATTTTTCTTTTGAGAATTAGATTCTTAATTTACATGCATTTGTTAACAGATACTACTCTCGAGAGGACACTGAGGATGCTGTAAAATATATTAGCGGGACTATTCTTGATGATCGTCCTATTCGTGTGGATTTTGATTGGGGATTCCAAGAAGGAAGGCAATGGGGTCGAGGGCGAAGTGGTGGACAGGTGCATTACTGTGCCTTCCTGTAATTGGCCAAAATGTACCATTCTGATTGTTTTGATTTAATCTCTTTTTCTGTTTTACAGGTGCGTGATGAATATCGTACTGATTATGATCCTGATATCCTTTTGATTTCAATATATTGAAAAGCTTTCTTCAGCATGGTCAATAAATTATGGTATTCCCCTGAGGTTAAAAGGGAGTCCTAGCTTCTTTCTTTTTACTTTTTCTGGAAGTTCTAGATAGAGAATCCGTTTTAAAATTATATATTTGCTTGTCTTTGCATTCAATTTATATTTAAGTTCATTTGATACCAGGGTTTCTGTTTCACAAAATTGGGAATTATAAGGAGTGGTAGGTAGAGTAGATTGTATGTGCTTTGGAACTGTGTAAGATTGTATGTTCTACTTAGAGCCTAAAAAGTGGATACATAAATTCTTGTCGGTTCTTCTTTCCTTTGAAGCTCTACCTACTTCACCTATATATATAAAGGGAGAAGCCAAAAGGCAAAACATTAAAATCCCATCAAGTACCCTTTGATAACTAAAATTCTATAGAAAACAATTTAATATAACTCAGGGAAAATTGGTAAAATAAATAACTAAACACAATTAAGGGGAATAAAAAAAACACATCAACTTTAGTTTTGGTTAACAGTTAACACCCCACTAGCTCAATTTCTAATTTTTTCTCAAACTGAAGCTTTATATTTACAACTTCACCTTTTTATCTCTCCATAATTTTTTTCCTCCACCCTCTTCTGTTACAAAATTAAACATGCTCTCCTCTTCTAAGATATGAAGGGTGATAGGGCCCTGTATTCTCCTCTCCCCTCTTATATGAGCCACTTCTTTTCTATCATTAATGGCACGCATGACTCATAAGAAATTTGTCTTATTGGTTACTGGGATGAGGATGAACCTTTTTCCAGGGTTATGTTGAGTATTCTAAACAGAAACCACTTCCAAGATCCGCATGGTAATATTGTTTGTGCTTTTGTTCTGCACATTAGTGGAGTTACTGTTGCATTTATAAATGTATTACCTTGATAGTAATTTAATGATCGATTAAAAAATTGATGCACATCCAATAGAAAAAGCCCATGTCACACGCGAGAGTGAGACGCCACGCTCTCGCGTGTGTCAAGAGGCCAGTTTTAGATTATGAATGGGACAGATATTAGTTCATCATTTGGTACTTAATGGCACTACTGTGCTACCATCAAATCTAGACACCTATGTCCTCTCTTAACTTTGCCAAATCGGAGTCTTTTCAACTTGGTTGAAACCATCTCCAGTTCTTGCTCAGCATTCTTTATTCTTATTTACCTTTTGGTCACTTTTACCTTCATTGATGGATATCAAGTTTATACCTCTGCCTTATGCTTTTCTTAATGTTTTCTCTAGCAGATGTTCTCTTATTTTATTTTTAAAAAAGATTTTCTGCATATTGTTTTCATTACCACCCAAGTAGGAGTTGAATCTATTGATCCCATTTCGTTAGAGTTGCAGAAAGAGGATATAAATGATTAGCTATTTCCAGATTCAACTTTGATGTGTCTTTTAGTCTGATTATATCACCTCTTTCTTATGAGAATTTATTCCTAGAATTTGCTTTTGCAATAAAATTTAAAGTCGATCTGGTTCTTGTGGTGTTTCTCTTGAATGTGAAATGTTTTCGATTTAAAGAAAGGACATTGCTGTCAAAAAACAGAATGGTTGATGGATTTTAATCTACATTGATGAATATGAGATGAAAAAGCTTTGCTCTTTAGTTTCCTTAACATGTTATACGCAGAGGTGGATATGGTAAATTAGTTCAACGAGAGTTAGAAGCTCAGAGAACGCTAGTAGATTATGGTACTGGATCTTTGGGCACTTTCCCTCCAGTCATGCCACCTCACTGTAAGTTACTCAGAAACAGTTTGTGTAGTTCAAGAGATTTGGCTTATTTTCTGGATTATTTGTCTCTGCATATGTCATTGCATTAGGGTTTTCTGGGTTGGTTCTCACAACTGCATCCTTCGCAAAGCATCTAGATGGAAAGTGGAAGTAGGATATGAGGGAAAATTTGATAGCTTTATAAGCTGAAATGACTAGGAACAATTTTAGGTCAACCAACTTTGCATTGTGTTGTGAGCTTATAGGAATAGGCAAGGCCCCCAGGTTGTCTTTACAACAGCTATTGATTAGAATAATCTGGGCAAGGCCACTTTAGTTATTAAAAAGTCACCTCAGTTATTGTCTTTCCACTAGCGTACATATGATTGAAATGTCACTCAATTATATCTCATTTTTCTGACATTTTAGTGATTCTTATCTGACAAATTTGAATGGGCAACAAAATTATTGTTCGAAGAAACTTTCCTTCTGTCCATCTTCTATGTGTATTTAAATTTTCCTATTGTTGAATATTAATTTGAAGTACAATTTAGTGCTGGAAAACGTACACATTGGCTTCATATGCAGAATTGGGAATGAGTGCAACTTTCTATACGGACGACAGGGCTTTTATTAATGAGCCTGTAGAGATGCTGCAATTAACTGTTTGCCATGGTGAACTAGAGTTTAGTCTAATATAAATGACAGTTCCTCTGATTTTTTTTTGTTGACTTTTTAATCATTCAGATGGTAGACATGGTGGAGGCCATAATCATGGGGGTACTCATCGGCCTGGTAGAGGTATCTATCGTTAAAAACATTTCTATGATTGGTGTAGCTGTTTCAGCCCAGTTTGTTGTTTACATTTTTCTTTTTTTACAACTGATTTAATTTGAAACTTATTTGGCAAAGGTGACTATCATCGGAAACGACATCGAGATGATGACCGCCACTCATATGAGAGCTCAAAGAGAAACTCGGATTACGAATCCCGAAAGAACTCTGATCACGAATCTAGACCAGTAATTCTAACAATTCTTGTCCCAATTCTTCTTGCATCCTCTTAATTTTTAAATGTTTGAATTGCCAACCTGTTAGTATGCCATGTCATCTCTGTGGCTGAAAGAGT